GAACCTCTATAAAATCATTGTGCAATCTCTTCTTCTCAACTCTCTCTTTAATTTTTGTTTGGTGGTTGCAAAGAGGCGAAAATTCTCCAACTCCAATTCACCCCCCTCTTGGAGTGCATTGAGTCAACACAATCGGCTCTACAGAGAAAACAAAATGTGTAGGAAACCCACAGAATCGGCTGCAGAAATTTTAAGCCGGCTGTTCAGAGTCGACTTTAGAAATGTAAGCCGACTATGCTGACAATTTTGCAACTCAAATTATGCGACCTGCAGAGCATTTAATAACCCCTAATGGCTAGAAACGACTATTTTCAAGCAAGGGGTTATAAATATGGTTGCTAGCAGATTTGGAATAAGTTTAGAGAGCATAGTATTGAATATCTTTACCTACCAACTTGTGCTTTAACTTGAGATTTTGATATTTGAGAGATTTTCGCTTGTAATCCTCTTCTTGTTCTATTTGTGAGTGATTTTGGGGGTGTGATTATTCTTTTAAGAGTGATTTTTAGAGAGGATTATTTGGGTTTATCTTGTAAAGGGTTGAGATTTAAGAGAAATATTCATTTTCTTGTAAAAGGATTGAATGGCTCCTTTAAGCCACCCTTGTTCTTGACAGTGGACAGTGTGGAGGAAATCCTTAACGAGTTAAGTCAAGGTAAAGAACTAGACTTCAAGTGGTTGGATCAAACCTCTATAAAATTATTGAGCGAGCTCTTCTTCCCTGCTCTCTTTAATTTTTTGTTTTGTGGTTGCAAAAAGAAGGAAATTTTTGAACTCCAATTCACCCCCTTCTTGGAGTGCATTGAGCCAAAAATTCTCTTCCATGGGAAAAATGAAAAGAGAGGCCAAACTTCTATTATTTGTATCAATTAATTTAATGATATGCATAAGTCATGTTATTTGTCTCAAATTTCTATCCTCCCTATCATTATTCAATTTTTTTGGTGAATTTATTTGGTTAAATGACTTATATTGTGGGCTAAAAAAATATTTTCTAGAAAATAATCTAATTTTTATGGTATTTTAAAAAATAATCTGGTGATAATGTATTTTCAGTTTTTTTTTATATATAAAAAATGCTAACTAATACTTCTTTTGTTATGTTTAAGTATATCTAATTTAATTTTTTAATTTTTCAAATATAAATTTTAAATAAAAATTTAACAATTTAAACAAACAATAATTGAAAAAATTTTTCTTCTTATATAAAATTTTTGTTGAATATTATAATTTGATAAAAAAATTTCAATTATTGTTTATATAAAATGTTAAATTTTTATTTAAA